CTTCTCCATCTAATCTCTTCTAGTCCCCTCCCTCAGTTAAGCAACAACAATAGATCATCAAATTCGAAGTTTGGAGGCTAAGAATTTGAGTTGTGAGCTGTGCAAAGTTCTTTTATTCCTTTTCTCCTCTTGCTTTGAAGCAAATCAAGGTAAGGGAAACCTTGTATATGATTATTGTTGACTTGTGATGATTTATTGTTGTTGGCATTCATTGAGGGATGGCGACTTTTAACTTGAATTCCATGAGAATGCGATTGCTTGAGTGGTGGTTTCTTGAAGTTGCTTATGAGTAGAATATGATGATTCTTGTATCTTGATGAATGCACGTTATCTTTGATGATGGAAATAAGTCCAATATGTTGAATATATGTTGTAATACTTGTTTCATGTTGGATTTTGGCTGAATTTTAGGTAGATTGAGCAAATCGAGTTTCTACATAAGTGCAAAAACTATCATCACATTATGTATGTCTTCAAGGCATCGACCGTGGCTCGAAGTTAAGGGTTCATAGTCTCTTGGCGCCAAACGCAAGATTGGTGGCATCAGGTATGAGGAGGGAGAATCGTCTTTGCCTGAATTGATGTCAAGCTCCAACAAAGTGACTCCAGGCGTGAGTCAGACAGATGTCCTATGCCTAATTAGGGTCGGATGTGGATTTTGTTATGCCAGGCATAAGAGAGTGGGAAGCTCTCTACCTCATTTATGTTGGGCACAAAAAGTTTGGCACCAGGCGTGAGCAAGACAAAAAAATCTCTTGCCTCAATGGTATCAAGTACCCAGGTGATGATGTCAGGCATGAGTTACATGATATTTAATGTGGTGTTTAAGTTGTTATGTGATTGAGAGGTGATGATTTGGGTATATGATGAATGTTTATGTAGATGATCCATTATGCATTGAGTTGAGATAATGTATGATGATATTGATGTTGCTAAGTTATAAGATGATAGATGATTAAGTTGTAAAGTTGTATAATGCTATAATTGTTCAAGTTGTTAAGTTGTTCGACATGTAGTATTACATGTCTTTGTTGACATACATAAAAATTAAAGGAGAGTAAATTTTTTTAGAAATTGAAATATTTCATTATGTGGATATAAGTTATGGTGCTTCAAGAACCTAAGTTGAGAACCTTTTAGTTAGTAAGTTGGTTTAAATCGGACCAATGATCAAACCGGTGAAAACATAGGATCAATGGGTCAAGATTGAATCAGTGTGTCACTAATTGAATCGCATTACTCAGTTTCTATTATTTTTTTAAAATATTCATGTCATATATATTTTATACTTATAAATTTCAATAAAAACTCATACCATACCAAAAAGAAGTAAAAAAAATTATAGTTAATATAATATTGACAAAACAATCAAATTATAAATCAGTTAAACCACATAAATTAATATATAATTTTAAATTAAAAACATATTATATGAGTTATTCAAGTCAATTGTATAATAATATAACATGTTGATTTGATGATCACTAAGGTGTTAAGTAATCACATTTACTTGAGTTCAAGTCTCATTTAGTTAAACTGCATAAATTAAAATGTAATTAGATATTTACTTTAAAATTTAATGTAAAATATAAAAGTTATCTAAATCACACCTTTACCAAGCAGTCATGTTAGAGTGTAGTGTTAACTTTAATTTATAAGCAACTAGAGGATTGTATTCAAATCCTATATCTATTAAAATTTCTTTCATTTATAAAAAAAAAATGCTTTTAATACAAAAGTATCTAATACATGGAAAACAAATAAGCTATGTTACGTATGTATTCAGGATTATTAGAAAGAGTATTGAGCGATCTAATTTAAGGTTCAGGTTGATTAGATCATCGATTGAATTTGTTTAAATGGTTAAAATTGAATTTTAAAACCATAACTATAAAAGTATAATTTAACTTATATTAAATATTAATTGTCATATTATTTATTTATTATCAAATCATATTTAATATTATAATTTTAATGGTCAACATTATGAACCAAAATTACAAATTTTACAAAATTAAAAACCTTAAATTGTGAAATTAAAAATTAAAATACTATAATTGTAAATTAAAATATTATAAGAGATTAAAAGTGTGGTTTAATTAAAAAATAATAAAAAATTACATAATATATATATAAAAAATTTATTAAAAAATAAAATACACAAATCGTATGGTGAGATATCAGTTTCTTTAGATAATTATAACTTAATAGTTTATATATACACATAACCTGCAATTTCTCTTATAAATGATATATTTTTTGATAGATAACTAAATATTGCACTAAATTTGGTAAGTTTGATGGAAAAAAAAAAGTCAGCATCTGTGTAGCAAGAAGTAGAATAATCTGAAGGAGAAATAGGTATTAGGCAGTGTACTTTATAGATTGTTGATGATAGGCATTGCACTGTCACACACCTGGCAACTGTCAAGTTCACTGTCACACATAGAACCCAGAGAACCTACATGGTTGGCCTTGAACTGTGAGAGCCACGTGGCTGATTCCAAGGTTCATTGTAATGAAATGGCGAAGAGGATCTCAGAACTTGGACAAAACACAAACCCCAACCCACTGTCCACAGTGGCACAAGACATTAGGCAATCCTCCTCATTGCCAGTAATAGCATTTACTTAATAATAAATATCGAAGGAGCAATATACTATCTTCATTCTTTAGTCAAATAATTAAGTATGCCACAGACCAAAATGTGCTACTAGCTATATAACTTATCAAGTAATAAATCTATCCGAATTTTGTAATAACAATCTTCTGGATCATATAATATGATACACAAACCGACAAATCAGAAATGGCGGTTGTGGAGATTCAGAGTTGGTTTAACTATAATTTTTGGCAACGAGATGATCCAAAACCTAAGTTTGAATAAAATAATGTTCAAGTAGCCGTAATAATATTTGATTCATGATATGAAACAGTTCAAGATTAGCTAAACAGTTGAGATTCTAATTAAGGAGCCGCCGACCTTTTGGGGATTTGAGGAATCACAGCACACATACAGAACAACTCAGATAGTCGGCGCTACCTCCTCTTCTAAATTCTAATTCTCTTTATTTCTTTTAATCCTTTTTTTTATTACAATTATCATAATATTTTAGAAAATGCTATCAATATCTTAAAGAATAAAAAAAATCGCACATTTTCCTGTGATTTTATTTTAATTTTCAATGACATCTTTATTTTATTTATGATATGCTAAGTTTATTTTTAGTAATGGTAATTTAAAATTTACACCCATTTATAATATTATGACTAAATAATTAAAATTTAATTCTGGCCTTTTATAAGAAGATAAATTTGATTTGCTTTTGATAAAAACAACTCTAACTCTTAGTTCATGTAAGGACAGCGACTAGATGAAATTTTAATTACTTGAATAGAGTTGGTTAGATGAAATTCTCCATGAACTCTGCTTCATCTCTGCCCGCAGAATTTCATCAAATTGTTATCTTGCACAATATTGTTAGCAAGGAAAAAAGAGGGATTGAAATGATATTTTGGAATGAAAAACAGAGGCTAAAGAAGGAGACAAATGGGATCAGGTATTGCACGGCATATATTTGCATTGTGTCCTTAGAGGCAGACCAGACACCACAGGGTCTGCGATACTCGTGAGATTTTACGGGAGATCCATAGTAATCTCCAAATTTGCATCACATCTTTTGTTTCATGGATTTGGGATACTTGTTTTGCTTTTTACATAACATATCTAAGTCAAGTACGTCCTCGTTTCCCTTTATTTCTGTCCCTGCTTTCCACGAAGCGCCCAAACCGTATCTCTAATCAAGTTCATTCAACCTTCCCATAAATAATATCCACCCGAGACAATCCCACGTGTCTCTGCATTTCACACCCCCTCTTCCAAGTGTCAAAACTGCCTTATTTTATATATGTTAAAATCCCTTTTTTAATATTTTTTTTATTGTAGAAAGCTTAGGTCAGCATAAAACACAATCTCTTGTAATATACAAGTATCATTTATATGTATAATCATATATTTATATGTATAATCATATGGTGTAGTATTTGGGTATCATTTATATATCTTAATCTGTATTTATATCATTTGTTAATGTATTATATAATTGTGTATTTTAATTACTGTTCATTAATAAGAGGAATATGTAGTCATTTGTAATACTTAAGTGTGAAAATAAATTTTTTCTCCTCAAATTTCATTCTCTGTTATATATTATGATTGGGTGTTTTTATACGTGTCATCCTCATGAAATTGGTATAAGAGCTTGTTAATTGTGAGGGAGCTATAGGTGGTGTGCGTGAAACTCACTAGATTGCAAGATGTTTTATGATGAGAGAAGTTTTTTCTCGTGTGAGTTTTTAACATACATGTGAAAACTTTCTTGTCTGGTGCCGGAAGAATGGATATTTTTGAATCTTCTTCCCATGTATATTCTTTGTTTGAGCTATTTTTTTATTCCATTGAGGAAACACTTGGTTAAATATCGTAGTGTTTGTAAGCAATCATCAACCTACACTAAACGTTTGATGACGAAAAACTCCTCCAGCAATAGGCTGTTGACGTGCCTGCAATCGACATCAATAAACCTCCTTGACCCATATGTTGGAACTAAAATACTCCTAAATTAAAAAATATATATATAATTTTTGCATATGAATGAATTACCAACTTATCTTAATCAAAATATAAAATGGCTTTTAACTTTTCACGTCTTAAAAAATACAAGTGTACGTGAGCAACCGAAATAAATTTGCAATTTCCATGAAGTAGTATTTTGTCTGTGTGTAGACATTTGAATTGATGTTGCTAACAACCAAAGAAGAAGGTTAAAAATAAAGTAAGGTGGGAGACGAGACTAGGCGATGACCAAGTGATTAACAAATACAGTAACAACCAGCAGGGTGGCCATTAATAAAATAAAGAATGCAATTAGAGTCAGCAAAATTAAATGCATGCATCTTGGCACCCTTACATGCCCTATAAATACGGGACACTCCATACTTCCTCTCGCATCCTCATTCCTCAATAAGAGAGAGAGAGAGAGAGAGAGAGAAACGACAAAAATCTCTTTTATCCAATTGCTATAGCAAAATGCCTTCTCTTGCACCCACTTTGCTCTCAAAATGCACCGTCTTCCCGGACCAAACCTCCACTCTCGGAAACCTAAAACTCTCCGTTTCGGACCTTCCCATGTTGTCCTGTCACTACATCCAAAAGGGTTGTCTCTTCACCCAACCCAATCTTCCACTCCACGCTCTCATTTCTCAGCTTAAAACCGCACTCTCTCGCACACTCTCCCTCTTTCCTCCTCTCGCCGGAAGGTTAGTAACAGACTCCCACGGCTACGTCTACATCGCCTGCAACGACGCCGGCGTCGATTTCATCCACGCCAATGCCACCGCCCTCCGCATCTGCGACCTTCTCTCCCCTCTCGACGTCCACGAATCCTTCAAGGAATTCTTCGCCTTCGACCGGAAAGTCAGCTACACCGGCCACTCCTCGCCGATTCTCGCAGTACAAATCACGGAGCTCGCCGACGGGATATTCATCGGCTGCGCCGTCAACCACGCCGTCACCGACGGCACCTCCTTCTGGAATTTCTTCAACACCTTCGCTCACCTCTGCCGAGGAGCCACCAACTCCCCCCGCAACGTCCCGGACTTCCGCCGCGACTCCATTCTAATCTCGGACGCCGTCCTCCGCCTCCCCCCCGGCGGTCCTCAGGTGACGTTCGATGCGGCGGCGCCGCTGCGCGAGCGAATCTTCAGCTTCAGCCGCGAGGCAATTCAGACGCTCAAAGCCAAAGCCAACAACTGGCGGTTAGCGGAAAATGAGAACAACGCGGGAGAGTTGATGAAGAAGCAGAGCAACGATGAGCACGCGAAGGGCAACAGAATACTGGAGAACTGGTTCAAGGTTAAACCGCTAAGCGTGACGGAAACGACGGAGATTTCGTCGTTTCAGTCGGTGTGCGCGTTGCTGTGGCGCGCGGTGACAAGAGCGAGAAAATTGGCATCGTCGAAAACGACGACGTTTAGAATGGCGGTGAATTGCCGTCACAGGATTGAACCTAAACTAGAAAGGTACTACTTCGGGAACGCGATTCAGAGCGTGCCTACTTACGCTTCCGCGGGGGACGTTTTATCAAGGGATCTAGGGTGGTGCGCGGAGCAGCTGAACAAAAGCGTGAAGGCGCACGACGAGGCTATGGTGCGGCGCTTCGTAGAGGATTGGGAAGGGAACCCGAGGTGCTTCCCTTTAGGTAACCCTGACGGTGCCTCCATCACCATGGGTAGCTCCCCCAGGTTCCCAATGTACGATAACAACTTCGGCTGGGGGAGGCCTCTCGCCGTCCGAAGTGGTCAAGCCAACAAATTCGACGGTAAGATCTCCGCTTTTCCCGGGAGAGATGGATCAGGGACCGTTGATTTGGAGGTTCTTCTATCGCCCCAAACCATGGAGGCCCTTCACTCTGATTCCGAGTTCATCAAATACGCAACGTCTCACTTATGACACGTCTCCACTCTCCCTGCCTCCACCGCTAGTAAGACAAGATGTTGTCCATGTTTCCGCTTATGAAATGCTTTCCTTTTCTCTTGGATCATTGCCTTTCTATTTTTCTATTCTCATTCAGTAGACAGTTGTAATAAAACATTACTTTAATAATTTGGATTTTAATATAAACCAAAAGTCAGAGTTGGGTCCATTGAAAATGAAGATATAAATTTGTTTTGGTGAAATATGAATGTATAAAGGTGGGATTGGATGAAGTACTGCCGTACTGGATTCTACAAGTTGACGGTTAGAGTGTGTGTGTGTGTGTGTGTTTGGGACAGGTGAATGTAGCGGTTTTATTGTCATTCTAATTCTATCCACCTTACCTTACCACTTGATGTGTGTGGATGGATGATTTATATGAACCAAATTCAGATGTACAATGTTTTGGGACACACAACAAGTTGCTCCACTTTGCATCATAAATGTGTAGACACACTTCACACTGCTGTCACGTTTGAATATTGGATTCATTTCGTTGACACAGTAAGGGACAAAGACTCACCCCACTCCAAAATCATGTCAATGGCACGAAAAAGGAAAGAGTTAAGAAAAAAAGTAAATAAATTATTATACATCGAATAACCTCAAAAGTGACCGCAAAAATATCAAGAAAAAAAAGTGACTGATGTTTACTAATCCCATTACTATTTATAACACTCAATTCAAAATATATTAAAATATATATTCTTAATTTGATGAAATACATTAATTATTATCTCTTTAAAAGACATATTTTAATTGGTTAAAATAGATATGAGTATTAATTAAAAAATAAAAATAATATAAGAATAATTTTGAAAAAAATTTATAAAAATAAGATAAATTGATTATTATCAATTATATTAGCTACTTTTTTTTATAAAAAAATATTGGTGAATTATGTATTTGGATTTTTTTATATATAAGAATAGAGGAAGTATAATTTTTCAAGGACAAATTGGTAAATGAGCACTGACATCAAACATGGAAAACAAATCAGATAATACGAATGATTATATGGAGTTAGGAGTTAGGACAACAACAAGGTTGTTAGTTGGAGAAAAAATCAGACAGGTTTAAACAAATCAATTCAGCATAAAATAAGCTTGAGCTAATCTTTATGACATTATTTCGTTGACATTATTTTTATAAGACAAACATAAACAAATCAATTCGGCTTAAAATAAGCTTGAGCTAATCGTATGACATTATTTCGTTGACACTGTTTTTCTTTTTCATTTTGTCAAGAGTACTAACAAATTTCTCTTTTGTAAGATCAGTCAGGAAGAGGGACATTTAATTTTGTCCATGGTGCTCTTGTCTTTAGACAACAACAAGATGACAGTTACATAACTGCAAGAGTTACCTTATGTGTAGGTTTTGTTTGATTTGGGCGAAAATAATTAAGTGGAAACAGAAATGACATGATCGTTGAATAGAAATATGTTTTGACTTAAGTGAACTTTTTTTTAATTTTTAATTTGAATTACGTGTAATTTTTATTTTTTAAGGACCAAATAAGTGTCATGATAGAAAATAGTGAAATAAAATAAAATAAAATACATGATCATAATCTATTTTAATTTATTCTTTGTTGAGTTGATAAATATTATAAATTATCCTATTGACTTATCTTACGTATTTATTAATTTAAAAATGTTATCCTACACGGGGAAGGGCATTAATTAGGAACAGATAATATAAGAAAGAAAATTTTTCATTGTCTATATTACACAATGTATTTGCTCTAGCACCACTAATAATATTAATTTAATCATTAACATGATTATTTTTATCATTATTAAAATCTTTATTGACATTGCTACTAGTAGCTGGTCACCGTTATTGCATCATTAATTACTACTATTGTTACAATTTATAGCTGTTGTCATAGTCACTCTTATTATATTTTGTGTACATAATATACCTTCAAAATGAGTCGTGGTTAGAAATGTCTTCCTCTTCAATATAACATCTAAATAAATGATAAAACCTCCAAAGGGATTCTAATGATTAAATAAGAGAGTTTTTACATGGGGTTAAAAATTAAGTTTAGTACAATCATGATACCCCGTATGTAGGTGTGTTTTTGTAAATTTTTATTATATCTTTGTTGAGAATATTCTCTTAATAATAAAATAATAAATACAAAATAAGATAAACTTTATTACTTGAAATATGTGAGATAATTTAGGGAAATATATGTACAACTAAGATATGTGCGTTAGAAATTTATGCCACAATCTCTCTTCTTATGGATTTGGTGGTTAATTTTGGATTTGTTTGGCCTATCCATGAATGGACAAGTTACAAGTTGCTTATGAGGGGTCATCCACCAACATGGTTAGGTTGAGCTAGTTAAAGACAAGTTAGCTTCCAAGAATGATTTGTGTTTACCTTGATTGTGAGCTAGTAAGATGGTTGATAAAATAACTTAATTTATTTATTAATACATATCAAATTACTCTATGTGAATTGTTATTATTATATTTACCAGTATAATTATATATTATTATGTTATTATTGTCGTCATCATTATAATTTTTATTGCTATTGTGATAAATGTGACCATCATCAAGGTATCACCCCCTCCATGACTCTATCACACTTATCATGCTATATGTTATCACTATTGTTAGTATAATAATTAGTTTGTCATTGTTATAAACTTTGTTAATGATATATTTAATCACTATTACTTCCTTCACATTAATCGTCGTATAACACTATCATATTGTTTTTGCTACTATTATTTTTACTATTACTATCATTGTTTCATTGTAACCATCTTTACTAAAATAGTTATAATTACTATAATGAATGACTTTTACATACAAACATCTTTATTATTTTTATTTTATTGTCAATTATCTTAATTGTGGTTGCCATCATCATTATCTGTGTCACTATTTTTGTTAGTACGAAAAATAAAATAAAATAGGATAAAAATTTAGGTCCATTTATTACTTCCTTTTCTCATTTCTTTCTTGTTATTATTTTTTCACCTTTTAATTAAAAAATTGTCACTTAATTATTATTATTATTATTATTTATTTTCTATTTTCAAATATTTATACAAGACTCAGAAAATAAAATAAAAAAGTTACTTTTTTAATCTCTTGATCAAATGAAAACCAATGAAAGGGAGTTATGTAGAGAGACCCAATAGCCTCACATCAAACATATACTAATGTAGTTAATCATTAAATTCTAAACAGATGTAGCATACAGCTTGCTTACCAAAATTCTACATCCACCACATGTCTAGCTAGACCCTAGGCCATTGGTATGCCGACATATAACTTTTCCACACTCACTATCAACCCTCAGGATTATCCGTAGAAACTAGAAGGCATTAGGTTTTTGTGGGTATCTCACAACGTGGTAGCTGCTCGAGTACAATGAACCTCGTGAAGGGTTCAAGGAATGCAAATGACGAATGGTCTACGGTCCATCACTTTGATTGCCAATGCAGCTTTCAATACTGCTGAAACCGCAAATTTAAACACCAAACGTATCTGCAAATAAGGGTCCATTCATTTCACAAAGGAATTTCCATTATTGCACAATAACTCTAAGTCAATTGCAACTAAATCTCATGTGCTATATAATAAGAAAGCTGCGCGCACCGGCCAGGCTAGAGCCTTCACCAACTTCAATTGCTGGAGGACTTGTTCAACTAAAAACGGAAAAATTTGTAGGGTATTAGGACTTTGTCTTGCTCTGTAGTCAAATGCATGCAATAAATTTTAGATAAAAGTCAAAGATTTTGCTTTTCAATATATTTCATAATGGAAAGGGAGAGAGAAGATTTTAACAAGGGAAGGGAAGAGGACGAAGGGTATAATTATGAAACAATATCTTACTACGTTTGGTAAGGAGTTAAAATGAACGTAACTTATGTTTTTATTTTAGTGTAGTCATAATCAAATGACTATTTTGTCAGTAATATTAGAGGTGGTCCAAGATTCCTGATGAAGGACATAATGCCCAATTGCTCATCTACCACCGTAGGAGACTTTGCCAACACGTACGTTGATTCCTTTTCCTACGTCTCAAAATAAAATTGTCCTTCGGTACTCTCCCCTAGTTTATTTCATCTTACTCCGGCACTATCATTCATGTTTTAAGTTTGACCCATAAGAGGTATATTTAGAAACTAGTTGAATTCAACTCAATTCAGGTTGAAAAATGTTCAAAATATAAGATTTCATTTTTTTCTGCATTAAAACGTGTTTTTACGTTGAATGAGGTTTTAAATAGGTATCTAAATATATACTCCCTCCCGTTTTTTATTCATAGTCATTTTGTCAGAATTTGTCATTTTTTTTCATTATCATTTTATTAAAATCAATGACTTATTAATTTTTTTTTTCTCATTTTTACTCTTGATAATTAATGTATGTTTACTGAACATAACATTGTGTCTATTTATTTCTAATATCTATCTATTTTTTCTCTAACCACTTATGTGAAGTTAATGTTGCATTTAAAAGGATAATATATTTTCAATGAAATACTATAAAAAAAATAGAGGGTAGAATAAGAAAGTAAGTAATAAATATTTTTGAAAACTAATATTTCAATCATTTTTTTAAGTCCTGTACAAAATCTTAAACGACTATGAATAAAAAACGGAGGGAGTACTGAGTAAAAAAATGTTTTTTTTTTGTCATTTTGGTTTAGTTATGATGTTCTATTGATCATAGCGTCATACTTTTGGGCTTTGCCTAAAAACAAGCTGCAGTCAACAGTTTCGTCTCGTTTAAAGAGGCTTTAAATTTTGAGCACTGCTACTTCAGGCCTCTGTCCATGGTAGTTAATGGGCCTATAGTAAAGCCCTTATTTGTAAATATTGGGCCTTCTGAGGCATGAACTCTACTGCAGTAGCCAGTAATGCAGATCCTTTAGACAAAAAAAAAAACACTTTTAAACTTTTTTGACCAAAAAACGATGTTTTTCATTTTTGTAGGATAATGACATTTGAACATCACGATAAATGATTAAATATGCTGATACTATATACTCAAATTTAATTTTATGGATAAAAAAAATACTTACTTTTAATTTCAAGAAAAAAATTGGAATTATATTTTATTTTTAAATAAAATTTTTCGGAAGTACAATCAGTCTTTTTCCCCCTAAGAACATGATTTTCACTAAAGCAAGTCCGGAAGAGAGACAGAGAGAAAGAGAATAATTTCAGAACATACGATTGAAAAATGAAATTTAT